GAGCAGGACACGTAAGTGCATGGCATTAAAAGACTTGGCATGGCAAACTTACATAGCTTCCCCGAACGACCATACCTGGGAGGTCTACACAATACAAAGGAACCACTGAGTCAAACTCGTCCGGGAGGATAAACTGCAGAACCAACAAGGTTTGGTGGAAAAGCTTTGTTCGAATCCTAAACTGCTACACAGACCCGTAAACAGTTTGCGCCATGTTAAGCACGGTATTCCTGCTCTGCACACAGCATGCGGGTTAGCGCAAACCGCACAAGAGGCGGCCAACGTCCTTGGACAACAATTTGGCCGTACCTTCCAAAGTGCGCAATCACCATTCATCCCGCCTAAGCAGATAAAGCCGCCATCGGGGCTTAATCACATATCGTTCACCTCCGCAGCTGTACTGAAGAGGCTGATGTCTCTGAGCGAGTTTAGCTCCCCGGGTGCGGACGGCATTCGACCGAAGGCATTGAAAGTTGCTGCCATGAGTTTGGCAGGACCATTAGCAAATTACTTTCAACGATGTCTGAACGAGGTGCACGTCCCCACGATGTGGAAGCACGGAATCCTCACGCCTATCTACAAAAGTGGTAGCCGTGCTGAACCAGCAAACTATCGCCCGATAACACTACTGCGTGTGATCTCCAAGGTTATGGAGTCCATTATAGCTGAAGCTTTGATGGGGTACTTGGAGAACAACAAAATTCTTGTTCCGCAACAGCATGGATTTCGCCAAAATCTTACCTGTACAACTAATCTCTTGATTGCTCGTGCAAGCTGGACGGAATCCGTGGGCGCTGGTGTAGGAGTTGACGCGGCCTACTTGGATTTCTCAAAGGCACTCGACCGCATAGACCATCGCATTCTCCTCCACAAACTCCAGAAATATGGAATCGGTGATCCTGTTCTGGGCTGGATAGGAGACTTTCTCCTGCAACGTCACCTGAATGTGAGGGTTCGAAGCAACCTATCAGAATCCATCGAAGTTCAATGCGGCGTACCTCAGTGCTCGGTACTTGGACCCCGCCTGTCCCTGGTCTTCATAAATCATCTCGCGAGTGTGCTATCTTCTAACTGTTTGCTATTTGCTGATGACCTAAAGGTATGGCGCACTATAGCTGCAGTGGTGGACCACACAGGGTTACAGAAGGACCTGAACAAAGTGTGCACATGGTCCATCGAGAACATGCTGCATTTCACCGTCACCAATTGCAATTTTCTCAGCATACGGCACAAGGGCATGCACAAGTACCGCCTAGGACCACAAATTCTGCAGCGGGCTTCGCAAGAGTGCGACCTCGGTGTGATAGTTCAAGATGACCTCGGTTGTTCCAGGCAGACTGAAAAGGCAGCTAAGAAAGCGAACCAGTACCTCGGCCTTCTTCGTAGAGCCTTCGGGAAGTTTGACCCTTCAGTGTTCCCAAAAATGCTTAGTGCGTTCGCGGGGCCGCACGCGGAATGCGCTATCCAAGCGTGGCAAACCTGGCTCAAGCACCATCTCACCGCGCTCGATATTGCACAACGTAGGACAACGAAAAGCCTCAGAGGTTTGACCAGCCTCCCCTACCCACTCAGGCTGAAGACCCTCAAAATATACAGTGGACGTTATCGGCCTTTAAGGGGCGATCTCATGATGGTGTACCTAATCCTGAGAGACCCCAACCCCCCATGTCATTCCCTTCTAATACTCAGTCAAAACACCTCGCTAAGAGGTCACCAGTTTAAGTTAGTCACGCAGTACCGCCGCCTGGAATGTCGGCGAAACTATTTCTCCCTTCGAGTGGCACAGCTTTGGAACGCCCTCTCGGAATATGTAATTAATGCACCCACCCTATCCCTTTTCAAAAAACTCCTTGACGGTACCCTGTCACAGTTACACTACGTGCTATAGCTCATGACCACCAGATGCTGGCACTAATGCACAACAGACAGGGGATATTGCCATAACCCTACTCGAGAATGAGTCATTCCAAACTCCTTGCACGAAATTTGCTAAACGCTACTACTACAAAAACTAGATTACTGTATCCTGTCGAACCAAGGTTGTTGCACACGAGTAAGAGTTGTCCTTGCTACTTTTTTATTTTTCTCGCCTATCATGTAAACAATAACCACTTCCTTGTTGCTTTTTGTGAGTACATGCTCATCTCAAACTCCCTTTATACGACAGGGCAGTTACATCTGTAGGCGCCCGAACAGAAGACTCCATTATCCCTTCGCTGTCTTTTTTACCACGCTATACACCCTACGGGACATGTCAAGCAGCTGCCTTTCTACCCGTTATAACTCATTGTTCATTGTTCATAATCGCACTTTTGCCTAAGGTGGGACGAATTTAACCATATGGATCAACTACAGTGATTACGTGCCATGGTCAGTGTTGACACCTTGACACAAAGTTTTCAGCCAGGATCCGTATACCACGGCGGAGACGATAAACTCAATTACTGCAAAACAATATCTTGCCTTCACAATTCTTCACCCGACCCCTCTGGACCTCAAACGTTTCGTCCGAATTCAAAGAGTAATGGCGGACTTGACTAGGCAATCCCGCTAGCTAACACAGAAATTTGGAGCTCATATAACCTCGAATACACGAGTGAACAAGGGACTGTAACCTGCATGGCCAATTATAAATTGGCATTCCAATGGAGCAATGGCAGTGGGCCAGGACGTCATAGGTTTTCGGCTGACAGGTTTTCTTCGTATAAAACCTCCAAATATCCGTCTAAATACACTGACGTGGCGGAAGTGACTCGCCAGTGCAGAAACTCACTGGCCTCAACTTCACCTCGGCAAGTTAAACGTAGCGCCTTTCCATTACTCTTCAATAGCTTGTTGTGGCGTACACTGAAATGACACTTTACTTGTCTAAACCTTCCGTTACCACTCCATGTATTAGGCTTCTACTGCGGTTCGCTACAATATACACTATTCACTTTAGACTGTCGCAAGGTTATTAACCAAACTATTTCGGGCCAATGCACCGGCCGTTTTAGTATCTTCTACATACTTTGCCAACATTACATTTCCCACAGAGCAACATGCCGGTTGTGGAACAATCGCCTATAAATTCTTGATAACGTTTGACTTAGAGTGCGTCTAATAATTCGAGCATTTACCATTTATTTAATTCCTTTTTTATCTCAGCGTGATTGCGCAGGACGACCTTAATGTTTGGAGTCAGACAAAAAGACATAAAAGTTAGGAAAGCAGGAAATAAATAATCATATACATACGTTGGTCTCGAATACGCGAGGCGCGTCTTTAAAGGCAGACTCAGCATAACGGGGAAGGTTGAGTAGGTATGACGAGCGAAATTAAGCTTCTGGCCGCCGAACTAGCCTACATCAATCACAAAAAGATGCAAAGGTAAACAACAGTTAAAGCTAAATGTGAAAAAGTTATGAAGAAGGAATCCTTAATTAATACTAGGTTGTGTATTTGGTATGGCATAAGTTTCGGTTTTAATGAGTTGTTAGGTAAGGGCATATAATGATCGTCAATAAGAAAAGTGTATGCTGTAATCGGCGCTTGTTCAGCGGGCGTTAATGCCAGACTCAATGGTTAGGACATTTGCAAGCAATTTGCATGCAGTACAAGATGATGTGCTAATGCGGTAGCGTCCGTCGATGTAAAAGAAACATGAGTATGCAAGGAGAATGCGAAAATTTGATAAGCTCTCTTTATCTAGATACGCCTAGTGATATATTAAGCGGTAAATGAATGAGTATAGCTACAGCCATTTTAATGAAGGAACGCGCTTCTAAAATTATTTAGGTAGGTAAATAACCGGCAGAACGTAAATAGGTATACAAGTCTGCAAGGGGTTTTGGAATGGTTACCGTCGGACTACAAAGGAAAAACGAGGCGGCTATGTGTTTCATTATACGCATTACATAAAACGAGCTACTGAAAGATCGTGGTTGGCAGTAATTGAAATATGTTGCTTGCTTTATATGCTGTCTAACGGTAATGCTGCAATGTGCAATAGAGCTAACTGAAAACTGCACTATGCTGGCCGCTCTGAAGTATCATAGGTATCATAGGCTCCACAGAATGTGTCACAGCAATGTTAACATGTGCAATGGAGCTGACTGACTGCTCATATTAGCTGGTGCCCGTAAGTACTAAATGGCACCACGGTTCTCTGCCGTGTATCGTAGTGCATGTCCAATATCGCCATGTGAAGACACATTCATACGACCATTCCAACAAAATTCTTCCGCAAGTTTCCAGCTGTTCTCTTCGGATTTCTGTTGACAATCGAAGCTTTTCGATATGAGCAAATTACTTGAATTTTTTAAAACCAAGAATTTGGAAAGAAAATTCTCTCGCTTAGGCGATGGACACCGACTTTGGGATCCCCCAGAATCAAGGTCGGTCCCTCAGCAAATGCCAGCAGATCCACCGAAACAGGTTAACCAGTCTTCCAAAAGCACTAACAAGGCTGCCGATGCAGCGCTAGAACGGTTAAACCAACAGCGTGGCAAACCGAAAGATAGCAACAAGAATACTGTCAAGCACGAAGTTGAATAAGCTCTCCGGGTGCAATGGGAAGCGGAGGAGCTTCGGAAGCGCTTTTCTCAGAAAGTGGCCACCGTCGAAAAGCCACCGGTTATAGCAAGAGTACTCTTTTGTTGTCCTGCTCTATTCGCTTCATCTGTTATTGGCTCCCGTGACCATGTCGACCAGGCTATCCACAACTACCTGATGGCAGAAGCCGACAGCAATTTCGCCGAGGCTGCCACGTTAATTATAGCCCGACGATTGGAGAACAGCAAACCCCCACGTCACCGGACATTCCACTAGCTGAGCAACAAACCGCATAGGAATGGCGGGAGAAACAGCAGCAACATTTCCTTCGCATTTTAACAAATCTACTTCATTCACCAGAAAATCCAACTTTTCGGCGGCTCCGTATGGGTAATAACCTCGTCACCGATCTGCTCTCGATAGGCGTAGCTGACACGTTTGTTCGTGCTTGCGGTTTCACCAAGCAAATGTTACCCGTACAGAAACCTGCCGGGACCAGTGATGATGATCAGCCAGGGGATCCCCCATCAAACGAGCCTTTTTTGGTAATCTCAGAGGAAGCCGCTCAGAATACGCAACATTGGCATCACATGTTTGATTTGTTGAACACAGCTGAACCCATTTTACCGGAGCTGTTTCGGGATACTCAGGTTTTTAAGACCTCGGGCAACCTATCCGGATTGGCAACTCGCGATCAGCTGCCCGATGAGTTCTTCTATCAAACCAAAGAGGAAGTGAAACGCTCGTTGGAACAACAGCAGCGCATTATTGAAGAAAGCGGAATGCTTATGACCAAGGCGATGCGCCAGCGGCTGCGCGTGCAAGAAGTCCGCCTGTTCCGCTACGCAGTCGTTTGAGTTCGAATGCCGGATGGGCTAATCCTGAAGGGAACCTTTTATGCCAATGATCCACTCAGTAAAGTCCGAGCATGGATAACGGATTGTTTCGCCATCCCAAGCGTGGAATATCAGCTGTGGGCTCCTCCGGGCACAGTAGCTGCTTCCAGATCAAATCTTCCGCCAACTGCTCGGGCTGAACTCACTAATGACGTCCTCACTCTTACCGAATATGGTTTGGCTCCGTGCAGTCTCATCACCCTGTCCATTCCACAGGCTTCTTCGACCGATCAACCGGTCAACTTGCTACGACCTGACCTCTTGGCCAATGCTACCTCGCTGTGAGTAACCAAAGCGCTGGGCAGTCGACAAGGTTCGGTTGACATTTTCTGTGATCCAGCAATCCTCGTGTCCGTTTGATCTCGCTCCTTTCTGTATATCGAGGATGTGGTATCTCTGACCTCTTTTCTGTATAACATCTCCGTTGTATCTTACGGAGAGACTCGAATGCTTATCTGCTGTGTGGACGCACGATATTTTGTGAGATGTAGTTTGGCTGATCCCCCTCCCACACAAGTTTTGTTAAAACAACAGAGCACGGTGATCTCTCTAAAATAAAGGCTGGCTAGCCGAGCAACCTCCTCGTGGTGCCAGCTGGGTGATTCGGGTTTACCCCCTTTCAGCAAATAGTTCGGCGGCAGTGTTCCAGGATGTGGTGGGATTTCGCCTGGCAAGCGTTCTCCCTATAAAAAGCCACATACGTCCGTTTAACAACACTGTGACGTGGCGGTTGTGACTCACCCCTAACTAAAGTCACCCATTGCTTATCCGAACAATCGCTTCAAGTCCACAGATAGCAAGCACTGGCGACACCTTCAAACACATTCAAGCAAAATGACAGGAAACCTTTACCAATCCCATAAACAAAGCTAAACACGCCTACATGCAAACTTACATACATTCATATATAAACATATGCAACAATCCCATTGTTCCACTGTACATTAACTGATCACATTTTGTACTCTTAACATGATCATGCCTGCGCAGGCGTGCCTCGCTTAGTCGAGAATACACAATTTATTTATTTATTTATGTATATGCAAGGTCTGATGCATAGGCTGGTGGCCTGGAATTATCGGAGGATCTCGACTGTACTTAAGTTGTCACAGCGATGCTAACATATGCAGTAGAGCTGACTGACTGATCATATTATCTGGGGGCCGTAACTATTAGATTATCGTCACTCCACTTAATATTTAAAAGGGAATTTATTTATTTATTTATATACATATTGCTAGAGGAATGCAAATGTAACCTGATGGCAGGTAATTATCGGAGGATCTCGACTCTACTTAAATTGTCACAGCGATGCTAACATATGCAGTAGAGCTGACTGACTGCTCATATAGTCTGGGGCCCGTAAGTATTAGGTCGTCGGCACTTCACTTAATATTTAAAAGGGAATTTATGTATTTATGTATTTATATGCATATAGCTAGAGGAATGCTAATGTAATCTTGTGGCCGGTAATTATCAGAGGATCGCAACCCTGCTTAATTTGTCGCAGGGATGCCAACATATGCCATAGAGCTGACTGGCTGCTCATATACTCTGGGGCCCGTAAGTATTAGGTCGTCGGCACTTCACTTAATATTTAAAAGAGGAATATAGTTCAAAGTTGGACATGGCGAATCCGCTAGTGGTTGAGTTGCTACAAGCAACCTCTATTTGGACCTCGGTTCACTTGCGGTGGACCTCGGTGATTCCGAGCACAAAGACCGTAAGTGTGAAGTTCCTGGCGCCACGAAAGGCGTCTCCGCAATACAAGCATATGCAACTGTACTGACTGAATACTCTAATAAGCTGGCGGCGGGTACCTACTTGGAGTTCCCGACTCCGCTGACGGCTTGAAAGGCGTGGTACCACAGGCAATGGTGCTATCGGACTACTTATATAACGTTGACCACGGTAATTATTACGTGTTGTCCGCTCCATAGCTTGCGTAAGCCGTGCAAGCATATGTAGTGAAGGTAAATAACTAATCACTAAGCTGCCTAATAACAAAGAAAAGCGTTCGCCGGCTCCACTGCATTTGCCACAGCAATACATTGTCCATATAATATCAGGATGAGGGTGAATGCAACACAGGAGAAGTGTTGCTCAGGCCCGTGCAAAGTGCTCACGCTGTTGTTGAGGACAGTATAGGTTTGTCGCGTCAACACCGTGGATCACTGAGGTCCGGGCTATATTCAATGCAATTGCAAGAGAAATGTGAAATAAATACAGAACGTACCTGCTGAGGGGTTCCATTCTTGCCGTTTCCAGAGTACACCTGCGAGGGGCTTTGGAAAGACGTGGATAAAAAGGGCGAGAGTTATGATGTGCCCATACGTACCGCGGGACGAACATGACTTAAGCTTACCTGTTTCACTCTATGGTGAAGCCTCGCATACCAACTAAACTAACTGCCACTGAGAATGGGGCTCCGTTGTCATAAATAACCGATAACGCATAATAGTCGTTCGTAGAGCCACCCACTAGGCTGCCATGCGGTATGCTCCGAGCAGTACCCAGCGGCCGTCAAGCAGCGTGGGCTACCATCCGGGGGAATCATGCCGCTGCAGCGCCAGAGGGTGGCCCTAAAAGGTGCCCGTTCGTCCTTCTCAGTGGCACGCTTGAAGGGGAATTGGGTTAGAAAATGTGAACTCACATGCAAAAGACGCACGCATGGTGCACCTGGTCTCCGTTGTACGCGGTACATACCTGATGCAGCCAACGGTTGCATTTGCAGCACATCACCCAGTGAACGATATCCCCGCTGATTGTCGGTCCATCCTCCGTATCGCAAATGATGCGTGCGATTTCGTTCTTGTTTGCAGGTTGTATACGCCCTGCTCTAGCGCTTTTATTCACCGTTTTGCACAGTGCGGAGGTGACAGTCCGCATGCGTCGGAAGGGCAGGGGTGCGTTGAGTAGACAGTTGCGGGGCTTCCATCACCCTAGGTGAAAGCGACTGCTTCCTTTTTGTTGCCTTGTGTCGGTGACGCTGTTGTATCGCGTCCGCCTGGTGGACGTTTTCAGGTAGGTAATTTCCAATTGACACCAGTCTCTGCGTCCGAAGCAAGGTATTTAGGCTGCTTTGGAATAAATGCTCTGCCTCAATGAAAGCCATTGTACCCAGGCTGGTCATGACAACGGTTAAATCACCGAACTGTCGGTTGGCACGAGACAACTTCTCCTCCGGCGTTAACACGACTTAGGGGAGGCAGATGTGGAGGGCATCGGTGCAACTTCCGCACGGAAGGCTTTCCCATCAGGGATAGGAATCTGATGGTCCCGCATCGACAAACGGCTAATGCGCATAAGGGGTAACGTCTGCGGTTAACATGCCAGCTGCTCGCACAATGTGTGTGCATGGCATATACCATTGCCTAAGGAACCTGCCATCACAGCTCATCTCATTACCCATATAAGCGGCGTGCTTTCGGTCTCCCTTACCTAATACCTCATACCCAGTGCCGTTCGGCCGTATTGAGGTGACCGTCTCCGAAGAAATGTGCCGCATAAATATGGCAGCAGCATAAGCAGAAAGGCAGGAAACCAACGCCCGCACCTGCCCTGTTCCCGGAATGCTGCGCGAATTCGACATCCGAAATTTGCCTAGTGACGTGGTTCAACGTGATCCTGTACCGCGTGCTGTACGTACAACTGCCTCAGAAAGTTGCAACAGCGATGTCTTTTCGCTAAATCCACACTTAAGGTGCTTATTCTCGTTCTCCACTCTGTTTGTGGTGAAGGCACCCAACGTGCGCACATTGCGCAACCTGTGGTACGCCAAGCTTCCTGCGAAGGGCAACCATGTCCGACTGTGGTAAGTGAACGCCTCTTTGCTTCTAACCCTTATAGCTCTGAGCAGCATCTTAAATTGCAATTCCGTCTTCGTGTACACTAATCTGTGCATCCACTGTTTGAGCAAAACTCTGACCGCCTTCTTCACTTTTGACAAAGACTGTCATTTGCCTGAAACGCCCCGCAGGAAATGAAACCGGCAGATTACTACCGTGTTCCGTGGATATACCTACTTGAATGCCTTCATTTGACCCAGGCACCTATCCATGCCTATAGTCTTCGCTGACAAGGCGGTGGGCAACATTTCCGACATGCCTCGAGCAACCTCCAGGCAACTGAATACCGCCTTGTTGGGCATTAAAGCATAAAACAAGCTGTGACCTGAGCCGAAACCGTCAATCATCATGCAGTGCCATAGAACATAACCACCGCAGTTCACCTGATGCGTCGCGTCCGCAAGAAGTACGTCCCCGTATTTCGCCGCAATGGAAGTCACTGAAGCAGGAACGAAAAATACGAATCGAACTTGCGACCCATCTCTTTCTACACGCACAGCGCCGTTCTTACTCAACAATTCCGCAGCCTCGTTTACATCATTCCCCTTAGATACCCAACCTAAGCGATGGCGGATGGAAAAGAGGTCATGTCGATTCAATCGTTTATTATATCTTGCCAAGACATAGCCCCGCATTTCTCCGGTATTACAGAAGGACTGCATTAAATCAAACACCTGCCGCTCCGCCTCGGGAGTCAGACGCCGGTTACCCACGTACAAACTTGGAGTCCCCAAGTTAAAATTATGATTATGCACCAGACAATGCTAGCCTATCTCCTAGCAAATTCCCTTAGCACTGATGGATATGTTCGCTTTACAACCGAGGCTGACATACCTACGCAACATGAATTACGACTAACGCAACGTTCGCAAATAGCGACTGCCACCTTCTCCTTTCCGGCTGCAATGGACACAACGATATTGTACCCATTTGTACCGCATCCCGTCGAGTAGCTCTTGACCTGACCTCTTGATGTACGACACAGCGGTCAACACGTCATATTTATAAAAACTCGTCGCCGTCTGAAGTTGAAACCTCCTCAAACCTTCCCCGAAGTCACCAAACGCCGTACAAGATTGGCGAAAAGCAACGTGGAACACAAGAGTGTCATCCACAGCCATTGCAGCGAAACCGAAACAACACGTGCGAACTAAAACCAACACCGTCTCATCCATCGTAAAATAATGCACCACCAATTTTCGTTCCCCTAAATCAAAATACATTTATTAAACCCTTATAAAGCCTTAACAACGTACTCCATAACATTCATCCCCAGCAGCCAGTACAGCAAACAGTACCGCCCCCAAAATACGATTAGCGGTTTTCGGTTAATCCGACGCTCTCAGAATGACGGTAAAAAAGCGCTAAAGTAAGGTGTAATGGTATGAAATATTTTTATATATGTGGACATATAACTGTCTGCAGGTATTTTATATA